ACTTATAATAGGCTGCGAGAACAACCTTGAGTGAAAGGTGGGAACACCACAGCCTAGACTGGGGTGTCAAACTCGATTTCATTGAGGGCCACATCAGGGTTGTGTTTGACCTTGGGGGGTCGGGGTGAGCATGGCCAGCTCAACATCACTCATGTCGGGTGTGCCTGTGCCCCCCACCCCCGCCGTGAGGTCAAACACAACCCTGATGTGGGTCTCAATGAAATTGAGTTTGACATCCCTGGTGTAAAGATTTAGGAATATAACCTTGATAGAATATTTTTCCCCATTCCATTCAAGTGGAAACTGCCTGGACAAGGCTTAACAGTTTTCTTAGCAAGGTTTTTCAGAAGTGGTTTGTCACTGCTTCCTTCCTAGGCCTGGAGAGAAGGTGATTAGGCCAAGATCACCTAGCTGGCTTTGTACCAAAGGCAGGACTAGAACTCACAGTCTCCTGATTTCTAGTCTGGTGCCTTAACCACTACCATTAACTAACTCTCCATATGTTGTTAAGCAAAGCAGTTGCTAAGTGAGTCAAACTCAATATTACAATCTTTTTTTTTTGCCACTGTTGTTAAGGGAATCATTGCAGTTCTTAAGTGGATAATATGATCTTCAAGCAAATCCAGCTTTTCTATTGACTTAAGCTTGCCAGAAGCCAGCTCAGAAGGTCATAAATGATGATCACATGACCCTAGGATGCTGCAACCATTGTAAATACATGCCATATGATCATGAGACCTGGGGATGCTATAGTCATAAGTGCGAGGACTGGCTGTAAGTCACATTTTCAGTGTCACTGTAACTCTAAACAGTCACGAAATGAATGGCTGTAAGTCAAGGACTACCTGTTTGAGTTTCTCATACTCCTTCATCTCCATTTGAGAAACACTGCACCAAATATGAAATGAAACTACTGTGGAGAGAAGGGAGATGAGAATTCCAGTTCCCAAACCCAACTCTTCCTCCCAAATCAGGAGGTCAGTGAAAATTCTTTCAAGTTCAAGCCTGCATATGAAAGTCTTCTTATAAGACAGATGCAAAACCATCTTGTTAATTTTTTATAGCCTTAACCGCTAAACAAGCTACTTTTTCAATAATTTATACCTGAATGGTATGTCTAGACATGACATCATTTTAAGATATGCCTGATGTTTTGTGGTCTATTTACAACAACCAGGATGCATAATTGCCTTCATTCAGGTCAGCAAAAGGGGTGATTAGTGGGTTAAGGAGTGGAAAAGAGGAGAAAGATCAAAAACCGCATAACAGCTGTTTTAGGGAATGGCTTTTAAAGTCTGTTGTTCTCTGTCAAAGAGGCAGGCCACAAATGTTAGAATCCTCATTGAATCCATATTCCTTGCAGTAAGGAGGGACGACAAATACCACAGATAATCCCCAATTCATAAGTAGTTTCTTGTGATTGGTTTACATTAAAGTCAGGAAAGAGAGGCAGTTGCGGTTAATGTAGAATATCTACGAGTATGGGTGTAGACAGACTGACACTGCAAAGACAAGATTTTGAACATCTTCTGATCCTGAACATAAAGTGGTTAAAACCACTTTATAAGGCGTTGGTAAGGCCACACTTGGAATACTGCATTCACTTTTGGTCGCCATGATATAAACAAGATGTTGAGACTCTAGAAAGAGTGCAGAGAAGATCAACAAAGACGATTAGGGGACTGGAGGCTAAAACATATGAAGAATGGTTGCAGAAACTGGGTATGTCTAGTTTAATGAAAAGAAGGATTAGGGGAGACATGATAGCAGTGTTCCAATATTTCAGGGGCTGCCACAAAAAAGAAGGAGTCAAGCTATTCTCCAAAGCACCTGAAGGCAAGACAAGAAGCAATGGGTGGAATCTAATTCAAGGAGAGAAGCAACTTAGAACCAAGGAGAAATTTCCTGACAGTTAGAACAATTAGTCAGTGGAACAACTTGCCTCCAGAAGTTGTGAATGCTCCAACACTGAAAGTTTTTAAAAAGATGTTAGATAACCATTTGTCTGAAGTGGTGTAAGGTTTCCTGCCTAAGTAGGGGGTTGGACTAGAAGACCTCCAAGGTCCCTTCCAACTCTGTTATTCTATTCTATTCTTTATGAAATATGATCTTTTGGAGTATTTGCCTTTGAGCAGGGAGTAAGACAAGGTTGTATAAAGTTCCCTTGGGTGTTTAATGTGTTTATGGACAAACCTATACGGAATATTTGCTGTGATGTTAGAAGTGCAGTTACTGGTGACAGGAATGGGTGTGCATTTTTGTACACAGATGAAGTCATCATTTTGGCTGACAGCGCAAATGATTTGCAGCAAATGTCAGCCATGTCATATGTCGCAGGAAGGAACACAGATCTGGAAATTAATATAGTGAAGATGAAGGTGGCTGTATTTGAGGGGGAAAAGAGCAAACAAATCCAAGTTATACATAAATAGCAAAAAGCTAGAGCTAGTCAAGGTATTTGTATTGTATTATGTTTATTCAATAAGGTATGTTCACTGCCTTGAGTTGACCAATATTAAAAAAAAGTAGGATAAGATGATGATGATCATGATGACGACGATGATGATGATACAACAATATATGAAGCTAAGTTTGTATGTACTTATGAGAGCTGATTGTTAAGTATTCTGGAATTCTGCAAGCTACTATAAGTTGAAAGCATAGCTGAGCTGCAATGGCTATTATGCCAATCAGCTGAATGTCGATCAGCAGCATAGCATGATGGCAGCCATGGAACTAACAGAGCTGATGGTTAAAATCACTTTGGATAGTGAGATGGCCAGCATATATATATTTAATAAATAAATATAAATACCAGCGCATCATAACATGTATGTGACAGTGTCTGCCATCTTGCCTCTCTCATCTCTTGTAGATACCTCTCAACTCAAGTCTCTCTCCTTTCTTGCCTTATCTGAATCTTCTATTTTTTTAAAAGATCCTTGTTAAAGCATCATACCCAGAAAGGAACACAGTACTTGTGAAGGAACCTAACCAAAGCAGAATCAAGTAAAGCAATTACTTCCTTTGAATGAACTCTATGTTTTGTCCTAGACAGAAAAACTGTGTGTCAAGGAAAATGTTAGACTACAAACTTTCCCTCATACAGTATATGAAAGTCCTTTAAAAAAAAAAAAAGATATACCACAGCTCGGTTTTAATTCTACTGCCATCAATTCATTAAATAAATTCAGCATGTAACAGTCACTTACTTCTGAGATGCTATAAGACATTACCATTTACATTTTTGTTTTATATTTTCATTTCTTATTTTTATTTTCTCCCCTTTCCTTATTGAACATTTTGTATTCCAAGGCAGAATGCTACAGAAAAAGCTGTGGTGGCACAGTGGTTAGAGTGCAGTACTGCAGGCTATTTCTGCTGACTGCTGGCTGACTGCAATTTGGCAGATCGAATCTCACCAGGCTCAAGGTTGACTCAGCCTTCCAACATTCCAAGGTGGGTAAAAATGAGGACGCAGATTGTTGGGGGGCAATAGGCTGTAAACCCTGTGAACTGCTTAGAGAGGGCTGTAAAAAGCACTGTGAAGTGGTATATAAGTCTAAGTGCTATTGCTATTGCTACTAACCAGTGGTGGTATTCGACCGGTTCTGCCCGGTTCTGGAGAGCCGGTAGCAGCGATGAGCAGTGGAGACCGAAACGGTTCTCTTCGCTGCTCTGTGTTTGGCCCACCCACCCGCCCAGGCTCTCATACTCACTTTTATGGCCAGAATTCAAAGCACAGCTGCTTTGCGCGGCACAGAATAGTGCCGCGCGGCAGCTGCTGCAGCGACCAGCATCGTGCAGGCTTGCAGGAGGCAAGTTACAACGCCTCTGCACCTGCGCAAAGTGCGTGTTTGGCGCACGCGTGCACGCAAAATGTGCATGCGCGTAAAGCACGGCCACCAAGCCATACCCACCGAACCGGTGGCAACTTTATTTGAATACCACCACTGCTACTAACCTCCCAAAGAGGCAGTAATTGCATATTTTTGCCCAAATCAATATATTGAGTGCAGGAAGCTAGATCTTTCTCAAATATAAAAGAAAAAACTCTGTTTTTGAAAACTGCACAGGCAGAGGCAGACTCATCTGGGAATCTGTCTACCTAATGGTTTCAGAACCTGTGTGGATCTGAATGTTTATTAAACAATCTGATGTTGTTTAATAAGCACTTCTCAACTTGTCTATTTTCAGATTTCAGAAAGATTGCTTAGAAATTTCAATGGCTTTATTTAAGAACAAACACTGTAAAATGTCTTTTTGGTGGGTGGCACTTCTAAGGACCAATAATTTAAGTATTAAAGAAAGTCGGAACAATTTTACTGTATTTCATTTTTATCTTTAATCAAATAAATTCTGCAGCTTTTTGAAGCAGTGTAAAAGATCCCAGATTAATAGAGGTATCATTCTTAATTTTTTATTACTAACATCATATCTACCTGAAAGGAAAACTATGTCCTCCCCAAAATTATATTTATAACTGTGGAGTCATTTTACTTTTGCTAAAATTCCAATAAGGGAAGTAATAGATTCCTGTGTTTTTTTGTGGTTTTTTGTTTTTTTTTTTGACATCTTCAATGTCATTTTTTTTTTTTTTTGAGATGCAGTTGATATTTAAGTTAGGGTCAGAAGTGGTGTAGGTAGGAGTTATATTCAAGCAACAGTGCCATCAACATAAGATTAAAACACAGAGGTTAGAACGCAGAGTGATTTTCCGCTCTCTTTTCAAATCTGTTAGAAAAAATTATCCTTGCACACTTTGCTCTGGATCTCTATCTTTAAAAAGGAAAGAGATTTAAAAGCAAAACAAACTTGGCCATTTCATAGAAGAGGCTGGGCTTTAACTCTACTCCTTACCTAGTCTATGGCTCAGCATGTGAGCTCAGCATTCTTCATAAACTACAGTTCCCAGAATCCCTTGGGAGAAACCAGGGCAACTAAACTGTTTACATTCTAAAGGGAGAAGCCAAAGCCTTAGTTACCAAACACAGAGGGAGATGAACCAGGCACAAACTCTGCTGCTTGATGGTCTCATCAAGACAAAGCATGTAGACAAAGCTGCCCTTATCAGAATAGCCGACATGAACGTGATGACAGCAACTCCAGGCTTTAATATTCAGACCTGGGCCACAGTCTTTGTCCAAGCTTTCTTCAACAACCCGGCCCAAATACGAAGGGAAGGGCAGTACTTTAATGATCGGTATTATAAATGCTACCGAGCAGATAGCAACTCCATCTACCTTAAAGCAAAAGAAGAAGGAGTGATAGTGGCTAAAACAGGAAACTTTATCCTGGTTGGAACATATTGCCAAGGCATGTATCCCAGTGTCTGTGTTGAGGCAGTGGAGAAACTAGCAGACTACCTGAGAGCAAAGGGGAACTAAAGAAAGGAAGGAAGAAGGAAAAGAGCAAGAGAACTTTCTACTCAAAATTCTTGCTTGGCACAGCAACCAGGAAAAGAAATGTCCCTTTTTGAACAACACAGTGTGTTCCCTGCGGGTCAGTCTCAATGGACATGTCCTTTGGAAGCGCATACAGGAGAATACCCAGCATCATCATTAAACACGTTCAAAGTGCAGACAAGCATCTTGATGTGGAATTGAATTACTATAAGCCTCTTTCCAGAGAAGGATATGGCAAGCATGGGTGGAGACAGGGACCATCTCCTTGCTATTAACCTGGGATGAGAGATTTTGGCAGAGGTTGGCAGAGCTGTTGCCACGGCAACCACAAGTGGTAAGGCTCAGCTTCCCTTGTTGAGGAAAAGGACCACCAGGTTGCCAAGGCAATGGACCACTGGACCTCCATGGGGAATTTCCTGTCAGAGTCAGCTCTACCGCTGGACAGAGTAAGGAAGCAGGTTAAAAAAGGCAGCAAACCATAGCTTTCTTGGTTTTATTCTCAAGAAGAGGCAATTCTGGGATTTTGCTTTGCCTCAATTACAACTTGGATTGCCTTTGGTTCCCAGCCCCTGGACTTGGATGCTAGAAAAATCCGCATTTGCTGTCAGACCCATTAGATCTTGGGTGCGCATCGTCTTTGCCATGCCCAGTAATACACAGGGCAGCTTTTTTTCAAGCTGGATTGTAACTGGTCACAGACTGGCACGCCAGGATTGTGCCACTTTGAAAGCAGACAGGTCCAAGACAAAGGAGTGGGTGAGCAAGGAGTGATTTTAAATTTGAGTTAATGTTAACTTGTAAATGTTCAATAAGTGTGGTTAATAGTATTCCCTGCCTGAATTATTTTCCTCTTCTCTTCCATTAAGCATTACAGTTGGGGAGGGTGATTTTTGAAGAAGTACAAGCATACCTTGGGGATATTGTGGGTTCAATTCCAGACCACTGCAATAAAGCAAATCTCGCAATAAAGTGAGTTATTTTTTTCTGTTTCTGTTTTTAAAGTGAAATTTTTTTTCTGTTTCCAAGGGCACATCAAAATTATGTTTACAATAAATCGTAGACTATTAAGTGTGCAATAGCATGATGTCTAAAAAAAGACCAACGTAGATACCTTAATTTAAAAAAGACTATCGCTAAAAAGTACTAATCATCATCTGAGTCTTCAGCAAGCCATAATTATTTTGTTGGCGGAGGGTCTCGTAAAAAACAACAACAACCAGTATCTGCAAAGCACAATACAGCATAATGCAATAAAATGAGGTATGTTTGTATAGGGGGCCACACACAAGGTTTTCTAAGTCCATATGTGGCCCTGGGGCATAAAAGTGGTCATCTCTTATATAGAGAGGAATAAATAACCTTTTTTATTCTCTTTTTCCATTTTTTTCTCTGTCTCTTTTCTCATCCCCATCCATTCACTTCTATTTTGCCAATACTTTTTTTTCCCCTTTCAGCCCTACAGTTTGCTGGGAAAGAGACAAATTTCTTTTGTTATTAATCTTAAGTCTCCACCCCCACCCCCAACAAGGCTGACAAAGTTAGGCCAAGAACTGCAGGTTTATTACCTCAGGTAAGGAAACTTGGAAGGAAAGCCTAGGATGCAACTTAGAACAATACAATGTCAATAAAATGAGACCATTTTAACAACCGAATTTCCAAAGCAGGGTTTCTCACCTGGCAGAATGTTCTTTACCCATACTGGGACACAGAAATAAAACAAGAGGAGAAAAGCAAACAATACAGGATTTAGAATAGTTGTCAATATGTTTTCTTCTATCTAATACATTAGTTTTTGTACATAGTTTCATTTCATTGTCTGGATGAGATCTGGATCTCTTGACTATGTTAGAATTAAAAATAATTCTGTTTTTAATTCTCACTAGCATAGTCAAACAATCCAGATCTCATCTAAGAAAGCCCCAGGAGCTGCTATGTAGAAGCTTTAAGCCAATCCCACATTATTTAACAATTTAACCAAAGACATTTTGATTTGACTGTTTCTCCAAGGACTTCAGGAAGCACGTGGGTTTTCCTCCCCTAATTTCTACTTTATTCATTCAAACAAGACAGATAGACAGACCTACAAACAGGGAGAAAGAGAGAGACGAAACAACCGCAGATCACCAGGCTGAGTTTCTTATTAAAAGCTTAAGTGTTTCAGGCCTTCATTCCAAAATACTCATCAAACAGGTACATCTTAGATATTGCAGATTCCAATAGGCTAAAAATCATTTCAAATAGATGGTCATATAAATTCACAAATAACATCAACAATAATCACGAGGAAGAGGAGAGCATGCCCACATACAAATACTCTCCATCCACTTAGTTTTGGTCCCCATCCTTACAAGCAGTCCTCAAGTTAAAAAGGAAATCAGGATGTGGTTGCAAAGCTTGATGTCATGTGACTGAATTGCTTAGCAACGACAATCCTAATTGCTGTCAAAGCTCCAGGAACATATGGGTTATTAAACAAGGACCTCACATAACAATGTGGCAAGAAGTGAGATTCCCAGGCAAGCAACCCAGCAGGCAGTGGGGTGGGTGCTGTGAATAGGTGCTATAAAGCAGGGGTCGCCAACCTTTTGGACCTCAGGGACCACCAAACTCATAATTTTAAATCCCGCGGACCACTAATATGACTTTTGACTGACGGTGGATTGCTGACGTTGGTGGGAAAGTCATTCCCATATTCCAGAGCTGCAGTAGTTACAGGACTGGCCCTTTGGTTATCCAGGAGCAGCTGCTCCGCCACCCAGGTGCACCGGCCTGCCATGGACTGGAGAAGCAGCTGCTCCGGGATGACCAAAGAGCCAGTCTCGTGACTACTGCAGCTCTGGAATATGGGAACGACTTTCCCACCAACGTCAGCAAGCCACCTCAGGGTGGATTTCCCTCCCCCACTGTTGGTCTTACCTTCCAGTTCCAACTCGCATGGCTCTATTCAAGTTAAGGTTTGCACTTGGCCAAAGGGTAGGGGGCAGTGGGTGGGCGGGCCATGTGGCAGTGCAGCCTTGTGTTCCCACACAGCCTGGATTAATTGCTTTGGGGGTACATTTCTCTGCAGACCACCAAAATTTTCTCATGGACCACCAGTTGTCCCCGGCCCACCAGTTGGCGACCACTGCTATAGAACAGGGGTCGCCAACCTTTTGGACCATAGGGACCACCAAACTCATAATTTTAGATCCCAGGGACCACTAACTGGTTCTGTGGGCGTGGCCTAATTTGGGGTGTGTGGCTTGGTGGTCATGTGACTGGCTGGGCATGGCTTGTATGTAAATATTATAAATATTTATATAAAAAGAGCAACTTTTACCCAAAATCAGGCAAAGCAGGCAGATTGAGTTGTTCACAGAATCATTCAGTGATCTATCTATCTGCCATCGGCTAGCTCGGTCTCTCAAATTTGCTTGCCATGAGTCTGCACTGAATTTGCTTGCCGTGAGTCTGCACTGAATTTGCTTGCAAGCAAGCCTTCAGTCCTAAGGTTCGGCTGTACTTAAAAGCAGAGCCGAAGATCTAAAGACTAGCTAGAAAGCAAGAAATCCAACCATTTCCTGCTTCCTAGCTAATCTAAATTTCCCAGCACAGCAGAACAGATGATGGTCAGAAAAAGGAAAAATAGCAGTTTAGCAGGCAAGTTTGCCGGGTAAGGAGTGAGTGGGCGGGGAGGGTTCCTGTGGGCCATGTGGGCGGTGTAGCCTTGTGTTTCTGCGTAGCCTGGATTAATTGCTTTGGGAGGTGCTCTGAGGGTGAGATTTCTCTGCAGCCCACCAAAATTTTCTCATGGCCCACCAGTGGACTGTGGACCGTGGCCCACCGGTTGGCGACCACTGCTATAGAGCACAGGCAAACAGAGGCATGGGTGGGCAGATGGACAAGGGCTATAGATGCTATGAAGTGGGGGGCAGGTGCTACGGGTAGGCATTATAGAGCACTGACAAGCAGGCAGAAACACAGCAAGACCCAGCTTCTGCCAGTTTCCCAGTTTCTTGTGCAAAGACAGAATGGAAGGTAGCAAATGGCATTGATATGGAGCCTTGGTGGCGCAGTGGTTAGAGTGCAGTACTGCAGGCTACTTCTGCTGACTGCCGGCTGACTGCAATTTGGCAGTTCAAATCTCATCAGGCTCAAGGTTGACTCAGCCTTCCATCCTTCTGAGGTGGATAAAATGAGGACCCAGATTGTTGGGGGCGATACGCTGACTTGGTAAACCGCTTAGAGAGGGAGTGCTATTGCTATATCACTGCAGGATGCTGCAACTATAGTCATTGTGAGCTGGATGCCAAGTGCTAAAATTGCAATCACATGCCTGCAGGGATGTTGTTAACAATCACAACTTTATGGATTGGTCATAAGTCTATTGAGCACTCTGTTGTAACTTTGAACAGCCGCTGAATAAGTGGTTTTAATCTGAGGTCAACCTGTATTCTCTAAGAGGGAAGGTTGGAAGCAGATTTCTTTAGCATGGTTCAAATTGCACAGGAGCCTATATGCATATTCTGATTCCATCAGATATCCCTGCTGCAGTATTTCCTAATATGCCAAGGGCTGTGCAATGAAGATACAGGGAGTCCTCAATTTACAGCCATTTGTTTAGTGACTGTTTGAAACTGTTAGAATTTGTGGCAAATTCCATGAAAATACTTAATTATCTTCAGTCCTACTTCTTCCCTACATATCACAGAGACATATATACAAAGAGATATATTTATTTACCTCTGATATACTGTGATTGAGCTTTTACAACCCTGTAATCCCTTTTACCCTGTAATCCCTTAATTCCGGGTATAGTTGAGCAAAAGGGAAGGAGAAAAACCTAGGTAATACAGTTAAAAATGGGACTTTTAACCTAATTATGCAAGACTTCTGCCAGCCAGTCATATTCTCTTTCAAGAGTCTCAAATCTATTTCCTTTCCTTGGTTTTCCATGTTTTCTTCCACAGTAATTTCTTAGCATCCTGCATTATATGTTTATT